AGAATTACGCATACACATGAGGTTAGTTAAATTGGGCGGATGATTACACTGCGTGTCCAGGAGCCAGGCTGAATACCTTGTGACAAGCTTAACCTGTACAGGTGCAAAAGGGGAATACCAGGTGCATGAACTATAAGACGGAGGACACTATAGGTAATTCCATCTTCGCCTGGGGCGGACGCTTTCCCTTTGATCAGTGCATTGTTCGGTTCCCACTCAGTAATCTCAGCAAAATCTAAAGGGTCGGTATCAGAACATCCCATCTCAGTGGCAAATTTACGTGCAATTTTAGATGATTCTGAATATTTGTGGGAAGTGAGCTCAATTTGGACGCTCCAACCCATTGACTAAGGAGCGTATGTGCTTGTGAAAGAGGACTATGAAACTGCGGGGTATTAGTCGGTTTGCCTGAAAGTCGATTGATTTTTTTCCAGACCTCACACACTGAGGTGTTATTATTAATGCTTAGTAGGAACTGTTCAAAGTGTACATTTCTGATATGAGTTTTTAATGCCCGTAGGTTTTTATTAAGAAGCCTTAAGAAATTGAATAAAGTTGTCACGGGCATTGTCCTGCTTATAGATATCAAAAAGCTCGCGTTTGTTTCCGTAATAGTGTAGGGTCACTGTTATTTGGAGCGCTGCGAGTTGTTGTTCTTTAAGGTTTTCTGTGGGCAGACCCAGGTGTTGTAGTAATAAGTTACCACTTTCGTCATGTCAATGGACGATTGACTATTATCAACAGCGTATCTCGTTACTATTGCAAAGTGGTCACTGATTAGCTCTGTTGCAAGTATGCTTCTGACATTTCCATGCACAAGATCCCTTCATATTACATAATCTAACCTCCCCCCCGTGCCACATGAGTTTTCCTGTCTGTAACATATATGGTCGTAAATCTATTTTTTACGAAATGTCGGAACTCTTCGCCATTTTGATTACAGTGTATTATGACTAGCCTTAAAATCTCCCATGCATATTGTGCCGTGACTCTGAAATTTGGGCAGTGAATCAGTTTTAAAATGTTTACACCTTGCGTATACAATGTACAGAGAGAAAAACCCAGAGGCTGTTCGAATATGTAAATGCTGATATTGCCCATTGTTGTCATCGGACTTCTGCACCAGTTTATGCGGTATGGTGTCACTGACATAAGTCTTTAACATTTCAATCTAACAAGGTATTCGCTGCTAATGACCTTAGCTGTTGATGCGGCAGATAATTTTAGATGATCAATAAATCAATCCCAGTGTTCTTACAGGAGTGGTACCCTCAAATTCTAGAGGCGGTTTTTATTCTAGTGCTGATGTGAAGGTAACGTAAACATTATTATTATGAATGTAGTAAAGCAAGTTATTAATTCTACAGTTGCCACCACGCATATTCCATAAAAGGAAAGTAATTGTTTTCTTGTTCTCCCATCACACCCTATTATTAGCTGATTGGTCAAATCTTTAATTTGCATATGTCTTGTGTAACATCACATATTGCTTCTTGTTTATTTGCGAAGGTTCTGCGCATTTTCCTTATATTAACCCAGTGAAAATAACGTCGACGAATTATACCTATAATATTAATATTATAGGTATAATATGTTGACGTTGTTTTCACTGTCGCCACCGCTTTCAGATGAGTCGTCGATGGCATCATGCGTAATATTAGTAGTAGTATTAGAGACCTCATTCACATTTTCAACATCAGGATATTTTTTCCTATCTACACTATCACTTTTTTCCATTAACATTTTTGTCAAGCCAGCAACACCTTACCTGAAGCTTCTTATTTCCTCGGCCATTTCCTTGAATTGTTCACCCTTGGCACTGTTTCCTGGGAAGGGACCCCCCCCCCTAGCAGTTGTGGGGATTCCTTTGGGTTGGTGACGTCACATGGCATTGGGTGGGGTGTAGCTGGGCTGGGCATCGCCACTCCGCGGTCGATGAGTACGGTCGGGGCAGGGGGGGGGATGTGTGCGTGGCGGCTTGTGGGGGCTGTTACGGTGCCAGGCCGTCACATCTTGCGCTCCGCACCTAACGCACCTCTTCACGATGGTGACGGTGTCTTCGTTGTTTCTTGCAGGGCAGTCCTTTCTCCGGTGAGCTTCTGCGCAGACAGAACAAACTGCTTCTTTCCTGCAATATTTGGCTACGTGGCCGTAACCCTGGAACTTGTAGCAGACCACAACTTCTGAGCTCAACGGTCGAATAGAGCTCGGTTCTATGAATCTTTCGAAGAAATGATATTTATTAGGTGGCGGCTCTTCTCCGCTCTATACAATGATGATACCATTGATGTTAGTTTTAAAAACAGATGTATTGCTTTTGCAGCGGCCTCCTTCGGAAACCTGGCAACCAGGTATTCCCCGTATCTTTGTTCTGGAGAGAAATCCCCGCGAAAGTGCCATTAACTATCAGGGCCACGTAGTTTTGTTGCTCCCGTCGTACGTAGACGTCCACTTCCCCTGAACCATGTCTAGCAAGCCTTCCTCTTGGAGGGGCGCCAGCTGGCTGACCTCCCTCATCCAACTGCTTTATCTACGGCAGACGTGTCCGTTTAGGAAATAAAACAGGTTTCGTCTTTCAGTTACCTCGGTATTGCTATATCAGGTGGGAAAAAGAAATTAAGAGAAGAATTACACTTTCGAAAGTAGCTTTCTCCAACTTAGAGAACATTTTAAAGAATAAAAATTTGAGCATGTCCACTAGATTGCGAGTATTGAATTGTTATGTATACCCTGTGCTAATGTATGGGTGTGAAGCCTGGACCTTAACGTCGGAATTAAGAGATAGATTAGAGAGTTGTGAAGTATGGTTTTTGCGTAGAATGTTAAGAATTTCCTGGACCCAAAGGATAACGAACGGAGAGGTTTTTCGCAGAGCGGGGGTGAACAGAAAGCTCATATGCGATTTAAGAAGCAGGCAGATGAGGTTTTTGGGTCATGTGATGCGTAAGGACGGTATAGAAAGCCTTGCTCTAACTGGAAAGATAGAGGGGAAAAGGAGCAGGGGTAGGAGATTTACGTGGATGAGTAGTAATGACATTGTAATTGCGTGTAATGACATTACTGTGAGGAAATCTGGATGATTATTAAGTTTGTCTTTAACAGATTTATGATAACGTGAAATAATTTTGTTATCATACATTATTTTTGTTATAAATGATTTCTAATCTGTTCATACAACAGAGGAATATGTTTCATTCATATGCAAAAAAAAAGAAGTTAAGGCAAGACGATGGAACAATATCATTAATGTATGTGATAAAAGAGATCGGTCAAAATATCGCACTTTTGAGGTCCACCCACTTCAGTGATTTTCATTTTAGAGAGAGAGTTCCTATATTATACAAATTCAGATTATTTGGGCCTCTAATATCCTACAGAATATCACTAAATTGGGCAAGAGTATTCACTCCTTTAAATATTATGTCAAAGGCTTTTGAATGGTCGCAAAAATGGCCTTTTGATATTCACCTTATTTGACTCAGTGGTTCCCAAACCTTTTCTAGTCGTTATCCATTTTTCTTCCATAATCCTTGTCCATGGCCCAACGCCAAGCATAGCCCAAGACTACAGTGGCTGTCTACAATCCTCATTTGGTCCATATAAAAACACTTTAGAAAATCCTGTAATTTCATTGGTGTCATTTGTTATGTTTTCTTTTGTCAAATATTGATAAAGAAATCTGTAGTTTGACTTTGCTGAATGTCATAAATAATGAAATGGTACTAAGAAAGAAGATAATGCTCATAAAAAAAAACGTGTCCATACTTAGAGTAAATAAAATTGCGAAAAGCTGTTTCAACAATAAATAAACAAAAACAAGATAAAAAACCTTAGACAACTTTAGAATCATGTCAAGATTAAATAATTTACTACTCTAATACTCCCGATACCTTGTTTTATGCCAAGAACACACAATCAGACAAAAAGAAAGGAAAAAAAAAGTATTACTCATATGTCTGATAGCAAGGCATTGCCCAAACCTGTACTGAACCTCCAAGTTCCCTCCACAGCTGCCTACCCGCTAAACTCCTTTGGTTTTATACAAAACAGATCCTCAGATTATAGCCCCTGCATTCAGTTACATGGCCCCCAGTTTGGGAATCACTGGTCTAATGCGCCACGCATACGACATGTTAAATGATTCAATGCAGATTATATTGAGGAAATTGGTGTGGATATAGACAGCTCTACGTTTCATTAATTTGGAAACTACACCTTTTAAATAATATATTTTGTAAAATCTACGAAACCAAAAAGTAAGACTGTAGCATTCCTACACACTCCTGTCCTCTTCCTAATGGAGTTAAATGATTTTAATATTTGCCAGTAGTTTGGGAAAGATTCACGTTTGAAAAGGACGTTGAAAATGTACACAAGGAAAGGAGAAGGTTCTTGGATACATCTCCTTTGTGACGTTATGACCTGGAGCTGAATTACTTACGTTACACATAGCATCTGTTTCATTTACTATTGTGGGATACAGGAAGAATATTACGTAGAATAAAAAAAAAAAACTTTATATGATGGTCCTAGCTATTTGGTTAACTAGTATTTTTCTTCAGTTCTACCGAAATACTCAGTTAGATACTTGATGATATTGGCTACACTCCCTGTTTCTATCTTTTTTGTAAGGAATAAACGATTTTCTTTCATTTTATGGGTTCGTTTTGAAAAGTTATTTATAACGTCACACTTTTCATGTCTCATGAGGAATGCATTAGCTTTGATTTGTAATACTTTTCCTTGGTTCTTATTACCCAAAAAGCCTGTCCTTCGTTTATTCACCAATTCCTCCCCTAAACCACTCCACCGTTTTTTCATTTTTTTTTTTTTTTTTACGCAGCAGGAATAACCGTTTAATAAAAGTAAGCGCTATCGATGGCACGACCCCAACGCCTATCTTCATTACTGCCTGAGGGCTTATCTTATCTTACCATAATCGATAATCCTGTGGCTGTAGACGGACGATTCGGCATAGACGCGGCACTCCTGGATTGTAAGCGTCCGAGGCGGTTGTTCCGGAAAGAGTCGTTCCAGGGTTTCGAATTGCTTGTTACAGTACGTACTCAATAGGTGAATGGTAGTCGTGGTTCAAGGACATTTGAGGTCTTAGGTATCGTTTTAGAGGGTGTGTGGTTTGCTTTTGTATTTTTTTTTTTTTTTTTTTTTTTTTTTTTTTTTTTTTTTTTTTTTTTTTTTTAGTAAAGATGCTATGCTATCTTTAGTGCTAGTCACATGTACGCGAGAAACCATATGCAAATGTATTACAATAGGTTTGCATGTAGACTTTTATAGCTGGCCCCTATTGTCACGAAGTACTTTTTAGCAAGTACATTTTTTTCAACTTTTTACCTTTCGGTAGTATCAGAACATGAGTTGTTCAGCGTTCTTTCCGAATAAAGAAAAAAAAAATGCATATACTCCTTCAATTCCACGAAAACAAATTTATTCAACAGACAGGCTCAAAAACAACATCATAAAAACAATTTTCTTTTCTTTATAATCACTCTCCCTTATTCACAGGCCGGGGCAGATCCGTACCTTTGGGAGAGACGCCGAAATGGTATCAGTGATGAAAGCAGGGCCCAACTGGCGCCAGATAGGCCTACTTAACCTGCTTCTTGTTGCATCTCTCAGTCGAGGTAAGCAGGGAAGAGGATATCTTTCTTACTTTTTCATCTTTACTTTATATATATATGTGTGTGTGTGTGTGTGTGTGTGTGTGTGTGTGTGTGTGTGTGTGTGTGTGTGTGTGTGTGTGTGTGTGTGTGTGTGTGCGTGTCTGTATGTATGTATGTATATTATATATGAATGGTAAAACACTTCCGTGTAGATACTATGGTAGAAAAGCCCACAGTACAAAAACTAGATTTATTGAAAATGAGACTACACCTGGATTCCATCTTCAGACCTGAAGATGGAATCCGGGTGGATTTCGAAATTGTAGTCTCACTTTCAGTAAATCTCGTTTTTGCATTGTGGGTTTATCTACCATGTATATATATAAATGCATATATATATATGTGTGTGTGTGTGTGTGTGTGTGTGTGTGTGTGTGTGTGTGTGTGTGTGTGTGTGTGTGTGATATGTATATATATATAATATATATAATATATATAATATATATATATGTATATATATATATATATATATATATATGTATATATATATATATATATATATATATATATATATATATATATATATATATGTATATACAATGTATATGTATGTATATATACACAATATATAATATGAATGTATGTGTATATATATATATATATATATATATATATATATATATATATATATACAATTTATAATATGTATGTATATATATACAATATATAATATGAATGTATATATATGCATATATATGTATATGTATATTTATATATCGTACAATGTTTAAATTTTATTAGGCTCGCAGTGAATCCATTTTTGATACGATAATCCAAGGTATGAGAGTTTTCCCCAGATAGCACTTATCCGTGTCGAAGAAAAAGTAAAATTTCGAATGGCTATTTTATGCATTATCGTTATCATCCGCTCATCTGAAGTAAAACAAATGAATACACTTTCGAAACAGAGCTTGATAATCTTATCTGAGACCATAGGGAGATTAAAAGCCCTTCCGGCAGCTTACAACTGGCTCAGAGGCTTGGCTTGGATGATTTCGTCTTATTTTGTTTCTCTCTCTCCCTCTGTATGTGTGTGTGTGTTATGATATTTACGTTTCCACAGTTATTTCTAATTTCCAATTATCAGTTAGCATTATTGCTAAAAGGAATAGAAAATTATTGAAAAATCTTTCATATTCTCATACCACGTAGAAGGACTGCATAACTTTTTGTGTTCATAACCACTTAGCCTTCTACAAGTGCCCCATTATTCTCAGATATGCTGACCCTATAATAATGGCTTTACTAACGTACAACTGATATCACCTTGATAAGGAATAGTGACTGTAGTAGTGTCTTTTTTAACATTGGGTTTGGATATATTATGAGCTCTTGAAAGAACAAAATACGATTTTCTATGGGAATGTGTTTCTACACAGAATCATTATCGAGGGGCTAACGCCGACGGGGGCGCAAGGCCGCATTCACCCTTCGCTTCCATCCAAGGTTCTCCCTCATGGCGAACCTCAAGGCAGGCCCATCTCTAGCTCCTCGCGACAGTTCTGGTTGAGGTGCCCAAGCCATGGCCTCCTAGGTCGTCCCACGAGCCTCCTCCACTCAGGATTATTTTGAAAAGTGGCAACCTGATGAGCAGAGTCATCTACAGGAAATCGAGCTAGGTGCCCAAATAGCCTGAGTTGACGATTCCGGATTATGCAAGTAACAGGTCCCATGCCGATCTCATCGGTTTAACGCATGGTCCTACCACCTGTATCCCATGATTCGGCTTCCATAGAATAAAACTAGCAGTATCAAGGCCTTGAAGACACGTAGCTGGTTCTTTTGCATAGGTACCGACATCTCTAAATGCTCTTGTTGATCGAGTTCATGAGTGCTGCTGCAGCCTAGAGACATGGACTATGCTACCAGCTCTCAGTGACTTCAACGTCCTCATCACAAGCATGTAACAAGTTCCCCTAACAGGCCCCCAAAATCCTGTATCTTGGTCTTCGTCAAAGAGACCAAGGCCAAAGGGCTTCGCCTCATTGCATCAAGAGCTCCCACCAGTGATTCCAGAGACTTAAAAAAAAAAAAAAAAAAAAAAAAAAAAAAAAAAAAAAAAAAAAAAAAAAAAAAAAAAAAAAAAAAAAAAAAAAAAAAAAAAAAAAAAAAAAAAAAAAAAAAAAAAAAAAAAAAAAAAAAAAAAAAAAAAAAAAAAAAAAAAAAAAAAAAAAAAAAAAAAAAAAAAAAAAAAAAAAAAAAAAAAAAAAAAAAAAAAAAAAAAAAAAAAAAAAAAAAAAAAAAAAAAAAAAAAAAAAAAAAAAAAAAAAAAAAAAAAAAAAAAAAAAAAAAAAAAAAAAAAAAAAAAAAAAAAAAAAAAAAAAAAAAAAAAAAAAAAAAAAAAAAAAAAAAAAAAAAAAAAAAAAAAAAAAAAAAAAAAAAAAAAAAAAAAAAAAAAAAAAAAAAAAAAAAAAAAAAAAAAAAAAAAAAAAAAAAAAAAAAAAAAAAAAAAAAAAAAAAAAAAAAAAAAAAAAAAAAAAAAAAAAAAAAAAAAAAAAAAAAAAAAAAAAAAAAAAAAAAAAAAAAAAAAAAAAAAAAAAAAAAAAAAAAAAAAAAAAAAAAAAAAAAAAAAAAAAAAAAAAAAAAAAAAAAAAAAAAAAAAAAAAAAAAAAAAAAAAAAAAAAAAAAAAAAAAAAAAAAAAAAAAAAAAAAAAAAAAAAAAAAAAAAAAAAAAAAAAAAAAAAAAAAAAAAAAAAAAAAAAAAAAAAAAAAAAAAAAAAAAAAAAAAAAAAAAAAAAAAAAAAAAAAAAAAAAAAAAAAAAAAAAAAAAAAAAAAAAAAAAAAAAAAAAAAAAAAAAAAAAAAAAAAAAAAAAAAAAAAAAAAAAAAAAAAAAAAAAAAAAAAAAAAAAAAAAAAAAAAAAAAAAAAAAAAAAAAAAAAAAAAAAAAAAAAAAAAAAAAAAAAAAAAAAAAAAAAAAAAAAAAAAAAAAAAAAAAAAAAAAAAAAAAAAAAAAAAAAAAAAAAAAAAAAAAAAAAAAAAAAAAAAAAAAAAAAAAAAAAAAAAAAAAAAAAAAAAAAAAAAAAAAAAAAAAAAAAAAAAAAAAAAAAAAAAAAAAAAAAAAAAAAAAAAAAAAAAAAAAAAAAAAAAAAAAAAAAAAAAAAAAAAAAAAAAAAAAAAAAAAAAAAAAAAAAAAAAAAAAAAAAAAAAAAAAAAAAAAAAAAAAAAAAAAAAAAAAAAAAAAAAAAAAAAAAAAAAAAAAAAAAAAAAAAAAAAAAAAAAAAAAAAAAAAAAAAAAAAAAAAAAAAAAAAAAAAAAAAAAAAAAAAAAAAAAAAAAAAAAAAAAAAAAAAAAAAAAAAAAAAAAAAAAAAAAAAAAAAAAAAAAAAAAAAAAAAAAAAAAAAAAAAAAAAAAAAAAAAAAAAAAAAAAAAAAAAAAAAAAAAAAAAAAAAAAAAAAAAAAAAAAAAAAAAAAAAAAAAAAAAAAAAAAAAAAAAAAAAAAAAAAAAAAAAAAAAAAAAAAAAAAAAAAAAAAAAAAAAAAAAAAAAAAAAAAAAAAAAAAAAAAAAAAAAAAAAAAAAAAAAAAAAAAAAAAAAAAAAAAAAAAAAAAAAAAAAAAAAAAAAAAAAAAAAAAAAAAAAAAAAAAAAAAAAAAAAAAAAAAAAAAAAAAAAAAAAAAAAAAAAAAAAAAAAAAAAAAAAAAAAAAAAAAAAAAAAAAAAAAAAAAAAAAAAAAAAAAAAAAAAAAAAAAAAAAAAAAAAAAAAAAAAAAAAAAAAAAAAAAAAAAAAAAAAAAAAAAAAAAAAAAAAAAAAAAAAAAAAAAAAAAAAAAAAAAAAAAAAAAAAAAAAAAAAAAAAAAAAAAAAAAAAAAAAAAAAAAAAAAAAAAAAAAAAAAAAAAAAAAAAAAAAAAAAAAAAAAAAAAAAAAAAAAAAAAAAAAAAAAAAAAAAAAAAAAAAAAAAAAAAAAAAAAAAAAAAAAAAAAAAAAAAAAAAAAAAAAAAAAAAAAAAAAAAAAAAAAAAAAAAAAAAAGAAAAAAGTACAGGACAGAAAAAAGAAAAACCGATATTGGAGAGACCAAGGCCAAAGGGCTTCGCCTCATTGCATCAAGAGCTCCCACCAGTGATTCCAGAGACTTAGATAGGATAACAATATTCCAGGTCAGTGACCTTGATATTGCCCAGTGTTGTTTCACATTGACTTTCGGTAGTAGCTCTGCCTATTATCCAGTCTGTGCAAGTGTTGATAAGTATTGGTGCAAGGACACAGCCTTGCCTCACCCCTGAATTAACAGGAAAGAAGTTTGACAGGCCCTCACCACAATGCTCTTTTAGTATCAGTAAATAGGCTTGTTATTAAACCAATAATCCATGTTGGAAATCCCCTAAATCTCAGGATCTCCTCTAGTGATTCGCGATTAATCAAATACCTTCTTGAGGTCAATATGAGCTGCAAGCAGCTCACGACCAAACTCACAACAGCGTTCAACAAGAACTCAAATCACTAGGATACGGTCTATTGTAGACTTGCCAGGAATGAGTCCAGACTGCTCTGGTCTCTGGTTCTTTAGTAGGTGGTCACGGATCCGTTTCAGAATGTAGGCGAAACTGGAGTCAAGTTTTCCCACCCTTTAGCTAAGAGATCGCATCTCTAATCTCAGTTAGGGTAGGAGGTTTCTTGCTGATGGTTGGGTCCGGCACAGATATTGTGACACCACTTGTATTCAGACTAACTGCAGGAGGTCTACCTGATACAGCTGCTCAATGTACACAACCTAACGTTTACAAACACCCATGTATCCTGCAAGGAGGGCTTGGGTTTCAGTTTTCTCAGGGCTTTGTAGGCAGGGCAACATGCAGATGCATGACCTCCAGTATCTTTGGTGAAATAAAATTTTGCCTTGCCCTTGGGTGATCGCCAGTGGACTCCTGCACTGCATTGAGTGGTTCTTGCTTAAAGGACTCCCACAGAGCTACTGATTCCATCAGGTTTTAATAATTATGATGATGATAATGGTGCTAATGATAATAATGATAGTAATGATAATGATACTGATACTGATGATGATGATGATGATGAAAATGGTAACATTAAAAAATAAATACGAAGAAGGAGAAGAATAAGAAAATAGAAGAAAAAAAAAAGAAAAAAGTACAGGACAGAAAAAAGAAAAACAGATATTGGAGGAGAACAAGAAAAAAACGTCAGTTCTTCAACACGGCTGTATTACATGTATCCTACCACGTTCTTTCCTCCAGGAGAAATTTATGAGACGCGGCAGATGGAACAGATCAAGGAGTACAGATCCGAGGATGTAGAGATATGCGTCAAGCCACTCAGCTCCGAGGTTGAGCTGAAGGTCGTCCTCATGGTTAAGTCTACGGCATCTCCTACTAAGTACGATGCCGGTTCTTCGCTGATTAAACAGGAGTCCTTAGCCCCCGTTGACAGCTTGCATAAGCTGAGCATCAAACACGTCACTCCTGAATATAAGGTGAGAGGATGGTGTTGTGTTATTTCATGGGGGTTCTGTTCGTGGAGAATGGTACTGGGTAGAGAATGGGTTACGGTTTTTATTGCATTTTTCTTTGTGGTCTGTAAAAAATGGCTAAGTTCATAATGAAAACGATAAAAAATCTGTTCAGAAATGTATACATATATGCATTTTCCCATTATCATTACCTTTTTTATTGTTTACATTTATTCTTTGATGCTTTATACACATTTTATAATTTGCTTATATCCACATTTCTTTTGCATTTTCTTGATTCCCATATATTTCTTTCTTCCATCAGCATAATCTCATAGTCAAGGTGGACAGCAGAAATGTCAGCTACAACTTTACTGGCAAAGACAAATGGTTCACCACATCTTTCGCTTATGAAAAAATTATCCTCTACGCTAAGGTACTAGTATTATGACTGCATGAGAAGAATCTTTACATCTGTGTGGTTTAGTATCCAGAATTTTGTTTTCATTTTTTTTTGTTTAATGATTTTCTCTCTTTCCTGTGCATAGGGTAAAGTGGAAGTTATGGACTGCAATGCTCTGGCCACCACAGCAGGTAAGCCAACAATACGCCTCCCTACTCCCTCTCCTACTGCTGCTGCCTCAATTGTCCCTCCTGCTACCGCTGCCCCAACTGTCCCTCCTACTACTACTGCCCCGACTCACCCAACAACTACCGCTGCCCCGCCTCCCCTTCCCCCTACCGCTGCCTCGCCTCCCCTTCCCCCTACCGCTGCCTCGCCTCACTCTCCTACTGTCGCCTCACTCCCCGCCATCACTCCAGAACCTTATCATCCGCCCACAAACAAAGATAAAGTCACGACGGCGGGTGTGGGCGGAAGCATACCGGAACAGCCCATGTACCAGCCACCCAATCCCACGACGGATCTCGCTCGCCCACCGGCACCTACAAAGGAAGGTACAGTGAACTTCTCACATGCTCTCAGGCATGTTAGTAACTGAGAATTTAAGTGTTCATAATATTTAGTTAGGGAGACTAAATTCTTTTTGAAGCACGAGTTTCTGCTTTGATAGTGTCTTCTCGTACAGGTAGATTGGAGTGTAAGCAATGTACATGTAACCAGGTAGCTCCATTTTCATTAATCATATTGAACCCAAAAATTCAGTATAGAGTAAATAATACAAATAATTATGTATCTAGCTATGTCTGAGACCTCATTGGCTAAACGCAATGACGTCATTTGTTCTGCCCCCCTTTTTAACCCTGTCAATCTATGCCATATCTTATGGTAAGTGTTTTTTTCAGTGCATTTTCTTTGAAAA